TCCTGATTTTTAACCAGTACAGGCAAAAGAGAGCACATTACACCAGTTTTGGCCTCACTGCACTGGTTAACGGTTCACTTTCGAATCCAGTTCAAAATACTCATGTATGTCTACAAATCACTGAACAGTGTCGCCCCCCCCCCCCCTCCCCCCATCTCTCTGATTTGCTACAACCGTATGTCCCACCACGCTCCCTGAGGTCAGCGGACCAGTTGCTCCTCACAGTTCCAGGAACTCGTCTTAAGCGCAGAGGTGACAGGGCCTTCTCTGTAGCAGGACCAAGACTCTGGAACGAGTTACCTCTGCTTGTCAGACAGGCCACCTCCCTCTTGGTTTTCAAGTCCCGTTTAAAAACTCACTACTATTCAGTAGCTTTCAACACAAGATGATCTGTGTTTTGATCCTGTATGCTCCACACTGGTTTGTCGTCATTATCTGCATCGTTTTTTGTCTATATTCTGATTTACCTCATTTTGTATTTTGCTTTGTGTGTTACCTGTTGTTCTGTCTGTACAGCACTTTGGTTGGTCTTGTTGCTGTTTTAAGTGCTTTATAAATAAAGTGGTATGGTATGGTATGGTAAATTATTTATTTGTGTGTTACTGCTACAAATAAGTATTTGAACGCCTGTGAACATCAATGTTAATATTTGGTACAGTAGTCTTTGTTTGCAGTTACAGAGGTCAAAGGTTTCCTGTAGTTCTTCATCAGGTTTACTGCAGCAGGATGTTGGACCATTCCTCCACAGATCTTCTCTAGATCAACCAGGTTTCTGGGCTGTTGCTGAGAAACGCGGAGTTTGAGCTCCCTCCAAAGATTTTCTATAGGGTTTAGGTCAGGAGACTGGCTAGTCCACTCCAGAACCTTGATATGCTTCTTACGGAGCCACTCCTTGGTTCTCCTGGCTGTGTGCTTCAGGTCATTGTCATGTTGGAAGACGCAGGGAAGGAGGTTGTTCCCCAAAATCTCTCACTACATGGCCCCGATCATCCTCTCCTTAATACAGTGCAGTCGTCCTGTCCCATGTGCAGAAAAACACCTCCAAAGCATGATGCTTCCACCCCCATGCTTCACAGTAGGGATGCTACTCATCATTCTTCGTCCTCCAAACACAGCGAGTGGAATTAAGACCAAAATCTCATCTGACCACAGAACTTTCTCCCATGACTCCTCTGGATCATCCAAATGGTCGTGGTCAAACTTGAGACGGGCCTGGACGTGTGCTGATTTAAGCAGGGGGACCTTCTTTACCATGCATGATTTTAAACTATGACGTCTTAGTGTATTACCCACAGTAACCATGGAAACAGTGGTGCCAGCTCTCTTCAGGTCATGGACCAGCTCCTCCCGTGTAGTTCTGGGCTGATTCCTCGCCTTTCTTAGGATCATTGAGACGCCACAAGGTGAGATCTTTCATGGAGCCCCAGTCCGAGGGAGATTGACAGTCATGTTTAGCTTCTTCCATTTTCTAATAATTGCTCCAACAGTTGATCTTTTTTCACCAAACTGCTTGTAATTGCCCCGTAGCTCTTTCCAGCCTTGTGGAGGTCTACAATTTTGTCTCTGGTGTCTTTGGACAGATTTTCTTCTTCTTCTTGTTTTGTTTGTGTGGCAGAACAACGTAAGGTGCATTACCGCCACCTACTGAGCTGGAGTGTGGACAGGAGATTAAAAAAAAAAAAAAAACTAATTCTGTGAAATTAATTTAGCAACTCATCTAAATTCTTTCCATTAAGTTTGTATTTTTTAAGAAAATACTAATTTGGTTTTTAACTTTACTGATGTCACTACTAAAAACATTTGTCACATAGTCCCGTTGCATGTTTACCAATTATTTTCAGAGATTTATTAAGTCCAGTGTGTCCTATTCTAATTCTAATCTCCTGTTACTTCCTGTTTTTCTTGTATAACCTACTTTTTCCTGTATGTTATGTAAATGTCTTCCTGTGTCAGTTATGTCCCAGTTCTCCTGCCATATTTTCTTAATATATGTATTTATTATCATTTTACATTTGTCTTTACATAGTGGTATGTCGTAATTAATATATATTTTTTTAATTTTACTGCCTGTTTTGCTAAAATGTCTGCTCCTTCTTTACTCTCCACTTCCACATGTGCCGGAACCCAAACAAAGTCTACAGATATCTGCGTCATGTCAAGTGTATATAAAATGTGGTGGATCCTGTCAATTATGTCTTTTCTTTTTGAGTTATTTGAATTGATGCTTAATAAAGCTGCCATGTTGTCTGATGCTATTACATATTTTTTATCATTATGTTTTTCTATCCACTCTAAACCCATAAGTATTGCTAATAATTCTACTGAGTACACTGTCAAATTATCGGTTGTTCTTTTCTTTATCTCTATATTTTGGTTTGGGATGTATATTGCTGCTCCAGTACGTCCTGACTCGGGATCTTTCGAGCCATCTGTAAATATTATAATCTTATTCCTATATTGTTTATTAATGAATTATTGCACTAGTAAATTTTCTGGGGTATGCTTTCTTTTATTTTTAATTAGTTGGTGTAAAGATAGATCAACAGAGGGGTTAGTAAATAGCCAGTGTGGAATGTTAGGAAGAACAACTGTAGGACATACTGTATGTTTATTTCATGTAATCCTGCATACTCAGCTTTTATATTCCTTTGGACAGCTCTTTGGTCTTAGTCATGTTAGTAGTTGGAGTCTTACTGAGTGTGTGGGGTGGACAGGTGTCTTTATGCAGCTAACCACCTCAAACAGGTGCTTCTAATTTAGAATAATAAGTGGAACGGAGGTGGACTAACAGGTCTTTGAGGGCCAGAACTCTTGCTGATTGGCAGCTGTTCAAACACTTATTTGCAGCAGTAACACACAAATAAATTATTTTAAAAAAAATCATACATTGTGATTTACGGATTATTATTATTTTTTTAGATTATGTCTCTCACAGTGGACATGCACCTAAGATGAAAATGTCAGACCCCTCCTTGATTTAAGTGGGAGAACTTGCAAAGTCACAGGATGTTCAAATGCTTGTTTTTCTCACTGTACACAAAATGTATGTTAGTTCATTTTGTTCAGACAAAATAAAAACAAGTTATAAAAAAAGTTGTCATAGAATCTAACTTAAAATGCAGTTTTGATTAAATGTTCCTGTTAATCACATGTTGAGAGGTGAACTCAGCCGAACAGCGCGGCTAATTAAGACTAGCTAATGTGTTAGAGCAAATAAGTGACGTTACTTCAACCTAAACCACAGACGGTGAATAAATGTTTCAAATTTAAGGTGGACAAAGTATTATTTACTTTTTTACTCTGTCTATTAAATGCTAGCTTGTGGTGGGTAGCATGTTTGCTTAGGCTTATATATTGGGTGGCTGTGGCTGAGTGGTTAGAGCAGTCGTCCTCCACTGCAAGAGTTGGGGGTTCAAATCCACCAGCAGTCACATGCCAAAGTGTCCCTGGGCAAGACGCTGAACCCCTCATAGCCTCTGATGTGTGCACCATCAGTGCATGAATGTGATCTAAATAGTCTCTTTTAAATGATTTGTTCAATTAGCTTTGTACAGATCTAGTATAGAGCTGTATGAATGGGTAAATGAGGCACAGATTGTTGTAAAACTCTTTGAGTGTCTTGATAATATTAATAGCAAACGAACAAAAATGAACTATAGACATCTAAAAAAGTTTAGTCAGGTCCAGAAACTAGAGACATTTAACCATTCTTACCCAAATGAACCTTTTCATTGTAAAAATGGGTATATGGGTAGAAGGATGTTAGACATGCAGCTGCGAGGAAAAAGACAAAGAGGAGACATGGATGCAGTTAGAGAGGACATGGAGGTAGTTGGAGTGAGGACAGAGGACAGAGTGAGGACAGAGTGAGGTGGAGGAGGACTCACTGTGGTGACCCCTGAAGAGGGAACAGCTGAAAGAAGAAAGAGAATGTTAATTCATAATTCACACTATTGTTTTTTCTGTTTGGTTGTTGTTGTTGTTGTTGTTGTTGTTGTTGTTGTTGTTGTTGTTGT